GAGATAGAGGGGGGTGACTTCAACTGAAAGGCGAGTTTCAGTGCTGGACACTGCCATGCCTGAGGATGCAGGGAGGTGGCCAGAGAGCCCCCCTACCCAGGCCACTGGAGCACTGAGTGCCAATCTCAAGAGCATTTCAGTTCTATGAATGACTTTTCCCCCCCGGAAACAAAGAACAACTCTTGGTAAAGTTCTGAATGGAACAAAACACAATTACCCCTGACTTACAAGGTAACTACATTCCTGGAAAATTAAGAACATGTTAAAACCATGCCAAAAACAAGCAAAAAAAAGCAGCTTTGTCTGTAAAACAGATCAGGCTGAGGATATTACAGATAGATTTCCCACCTACATGAAAGCCACACAAGTGCATTCCTGGTGCTGCCAACAAGCACCAGGGCTGCTTCCCAACCTGGGAAAGCAAACATGCTCCCACAAACTTCAAAATGCCCTTTCTGAGGACTGTATTGCACTCAAGAACCAGGACCACCCAGCAAGCAATCTACCCTCCCCAACTGCTTCTGGCAAGCCCAAACCCACCCACCTCACAGGACCCTTGTGCCAACTGTCCTGGGCTATGGAGAAGCTGCAGATCCCTCGTTCCTTCATATCTCTGCTCAAATGTCACCTGCCAAATGGCATCCCCACTAGCACAGGCAGCTTTGTGTCTCCTGCTGAGCACAGCCTCTCCCATCTTTTTCTGCTAGGCCCCTTGCTGAGAAAGGGGAGAAATCAGAGGGCTAGAAAGAAAGCAATGGTTAAAGAAAGTTATCAGGGCCCTCGGGACCAAGAATATCAATCACACATGTCCGAAGGTATGCTTTTTCCTAAGAACTAAGTCAGGTAAAAAACTGCAGTGTTAATAATGAACACTGTGCTGTTTTAACCTATACACAAATATGGTTCAGTCTGAAAATTCCTGTGACTCTAACAATGTGGAGACTCAGGCCTGCAGAGACACTGGGAACTGCTGAAGGCAAAAGTGCTGCATCTCCACTGCTCTATTCAATGTCCAAATCATGAGAGGGAGTGGAGTATGCATAAAACCTGCCCTCAGGTACCTCCAACAATAAAAATAATGTCATGGTTAATTTCCCTGGTAATTTTCAGGATCAGGTATCATTTTGACAAAATAGAAATACTAAATGCTGTAAGTATTTTGAGCAAAATTTCACCACCAAAGTTGCCAAAAGATATAGTATTTTTAAAATAGATTAATGGATTTAATGAGTGTGGAACGACAGTCTCACCTAGAGAAGACGGGTAGCTTCACAGGAAATCAAACTTATCACCTGGCAGGCACATCTAACTCTGCCTTCATTTCTTTTACTCTTCAGAAACAAGTCTAGATAAAAAAATCTAGAAATCCGCTTCTTGGCCACTTGTGCCTGAAACATACTGATAGAATACTTAAAGACCTTCTGTTAAAAACCCCCAAAGGATAAGTACAAAGCTTCCTACTTAGGCATATGGTGTAGCAAAAGTTTTGAAGTGAGGCACAGACAAAAAGGTGTTAAATCTTACATATAGGCATCTACCACCAGAAACTCTTTGGAAATTATTCCTAGCCTGCTATCATCATTTAAGGAGTAAAACTCTTTTTGTGATACTAAGGATTGAACATAGGGGTGCTCTACCACTGAGCTACATCCCTAGCCTTTTTTATATTGTATTGTGAGACAGCATCTTTTTAAGTTGCAAAGGCTGGCCTTGAACTTGCCATCCTCCTGCCTCAGCCTCTCAAGCAGCTGAGATTAAGGCAAGCACCACCACAACCAGCAAGGAGTAAAACTTAGGTTTTTGAAAATGTATCATACACTTCTTCGTGGCACGTGCATGGATCATACCAAGTCTCCTAAACATTAGTGACCCCTGGGTCTCAAGAGGTATGTGGAAATATGTGCCTCCTAAAGTGAATCACTCCTAAATGCTATCTGTAAATACCTGCCTGCTTTTTATACTTTCTTCTGTCTCTTCCCTTTGACACTTTAACCTTCCCTTTATATGGGCTTACAAGAAATGCCACTCTGCCTTGTTTGTGGGCTAACCACTGTTAATAAAATTCAGGAAATGAGGACCAGTTAGAGACAATATGGAGGTGGGGCCCTGATCAGACATCCTTACCACACCTCCCAACCTTGGTGGCAGGCTGGGTTGACAGAACTCTGGGTGAGGCCCAACAGATCCTCCTAAGAACAAAGAACTTGGACGGCTTAACCGCGCAACATTTTCCCACCTAGTCAGGCCATATGACCAATCTGAAAATGCTGAACAGTGATATTGTTGCACAGCTGTCACCCATGAGCTGCAACTGCACTTCAAAGGGTTTATGACAATCAAAAAAAGATATAGTATTTTTAAATAGGAACCTGAGTGGGGTGCGTGTGCTAGGAATCCCAACGCCTCTCTATCCCCTACGTGAACCTGCAAGAGCACTTCCAATGAGGAGTGGATATGGCACAAAAAAAAGACATTCTTAATTAAGATTCCAACTGAAAGAAATTTTCATGTTTCTCTCCCAGCCACCTCGGACAGATGTGCATTTACTTCCTTTCACTATCCTCATTTTATGAAAGTGAAAGGTCAAAGGGGAGATGGCCCAGAAGAGTCAAGGAAGAGGCAATGAATGGTACGGCAAGCCTGTGCTAGCTGGAGTCTGAGATCTGCTCAGTGAGTACAGCCATAGCTCTCGGAGGGGTGTCTGGAAAAGCCTGGTAAGCAGGGCTTGTGATTAAAAGCAGATTTAAATCCTCACATAAGTGTAACATTTAACTTGAAGAAAAAAATAAATAAATGGATCCAACTCTCTCAAACCACAGGAAACAGGAACATAGTATCCCAAGAACCTGCATAACAGGTTTCTTCTCTTGTTTAGTTCTACTCTATGGCTCCCTGACTGGGGTTACCTCAGCAGCTGGCAGGCCACATTACCTTTTGCTGCAGGAAAATAAAAAAGCCAAACATCCCTTCCTCTAATTTCAAGCCTGCCTGGTCCTAGACAGAGACACCTGACAGGTGAAGATGTCTGAACACCCTCTACTCTCTCCATACTGAATTGTGCAAGAGACATAGCAAATAGCAACTAACATGATTTAAGAGTGCAGAAAAAGGTTTTGCTTTCTACTAACTTTCTTTCCACGATAGGCAGACTATATGAGTCAGCTGTTGTCCATATCAACTGTAAGTGTGTGTGCGTGTGTGTCTGTGTTTTGATGGTGGTGCTGGGGATCAAACCCAGGGCCTGAGCATGCTAGGAAAATACTCTCTCACTAAACTACACCTCAGCCCATAAACCTTTTTCAAGTAGTGACTCTGTGTATCTGCTTCACGGACAAAAGCAAATTGCTAGAGTTCTAACAACTCAGGTTAGTTCTCACCAAGATAACTGAGGACAATAACAAATGCTTCCCTGTCCAACATGACCAAACCTTTATGCTAAGAGATAGTGCAGCCAACTGAACTGTGCCTAGCACTCACACACTCATCTCTCAAGTTTGGACCCTGCTGTAACACTGGATTTCAAGTCCTCAGTTTTGGCAACTTGTGCTACTGAAAATGCAGATGAAGCAAGGACACCATCCACCAAGTGATACATGTTAGAGACTAGTCAAGGCCACTGATGGCCAGCAGACCACTCACTGTGGCATCTCACTAGCCTTCAGACAGACACTGCAGAAAACGCCAGAACCAACTGGCAGAAAAAACTGCTGACCACTAGTTCTGAAACAAAAACTACAATTGACCGTTCCAACATCAGTAGTGACACCAACCACACAGCTCTCCACAGAGACTTCTGAGACCACCCAAAACAGCCATAGATCTTCTTTTCCTGCCAGCAGTTTCATGTACAATCCTACCCTATTTCTGCAAAGCAGCCACTTGCTGTTTGGATGGAATGGGAAAATGCCCCCTTCTCCCAGCCAATTATCCAGCACTTCAGGTGTTCTACAATGGTTCAGTTACAGTCTGACACGCCATGACCACCCTGATTGTGCAACAACTGTGCAATGGGTCTCGCCTCCGCAGTGAAGGCTGTGAGCACACCATTCCACACGCAGGTTAAAGATTCACCAGCCTGAAAGAGCCCTTATCTACCCAGGACAGCACCAAGGAAACCAGCCTGGAGTTGAAGCAAGGATCAGCCAGCCCTCCCTCCGCAGGCCACAGGGCCTTGAATGCACACCACAAATCTTGTCTCACGTGAACAGCAGAGTTAAAGGGGACGCTCTGGATTCCCCTGCAGGCCCCAGGCCCTTGAGTGCACACTGCAAGAAGGGAGAAGAGGGAAATTCTGGGAGAGCTGACCCCAAATCACGTCTCACAGAATCAGGGGGGCATTCTGGGCTCCTCCTGAAGTCCGCAGATGCTCCCTCCTTCCATTCCAAGCAGTCAGTCCCGCAACCGGGGTCCCTGCCCACCGAATGCCCTCCCGGCTCCTCCCGCAGCCTCCGTCCCCGTGAACAGGAACTGGACTCCGGAGGCTAAGATACAAGCCCTTGCCACCCGCGTGACCTTGACGGCGTCTCGGGGTCGCCCAAGCCTCAGTTTCCCCATCCCCACGGCTAAGACCGAGACTGAAGGCAGCCGGATCGCCCTTCTTGCGGGGGCAGACCCCGCGGCCTCGCCCGCCCCCGGAAGCCCGCTCCCCTCCACCCCGCACCCGGGGTGCCGGGCCTCCTGAGGAGTGTAGAGCGGAGCGGAGGACGCAGGAAGCCCAGGCTTCCTCAAGAGCCCGGCGTCTCGGGCGGACTTCCGGACTGCGGTGGCCGCGGGAGGGTCGGGGCAGGAGGAAGCGGGGGACGCCGCGGGGCGAAGCCGGGGCCTGAGAGGTGCGCCCGGCCCTCTCCGCCCGGTCGCCCAGGCCCTCTCGGCCCCGATCCCGGCCCCAGCCCAGCCGCCGCCGCCGCAGCGGCCGAGTGTCCCCGCGAGCCCTACGCTGCCCTGCCCCCGGGCCCGACCCCAGTCCCGACCCTGGCCGCTGGCTCGTCCCGCGCCCTCACCTCAGCGGCGGCTGCTCCGAGCCAGGCGTTGGTTTCGCTCCCACAAGATGGCGGCGCTGACGGCGGCCACGTCAGCGCCTGCGGCCGCGAGGCACACCGGGAAGAGGCAGGCACGGCTGAGGTCACGCCCACAACTCAGCGCACGCGTATTGACTATAATTGGGCTGTGAGGGGCGGAGCCAGGGACGCCCGGCTCCCGGATCGCAGCCCTTGCTGGCACCCGCGCTCCCTGTCTCCGAGCGCGCCCCTCGGCCGGCCGTCGGGCGTGGCTTCTGAGTCGGTGGGCGCGTGCGCATGCGCCCCACAGTGCCCAGACTCCAGCCCATTTCGCGGATGCAGAGACTAAGATTGCTCCGCGTCTTTCTTGCCCCAAAGCGGCAGGCCCGGGGTGTCACCCTTACCGTCCACAACCAGGCAGTGGTGCCGAGTTCTGGGAAAACCATGTGAGGACCAAAAGGGTGCGATATCCCTCTCAGGATTCTCCAGGGTCCCAGATTCTCCTGCTGGAACCGGACACTGAGGAAACCAATGTCACTGACAGGTGACCAAAACGGTTAGGGACGCAGGCCAAGTATCAGACACCCACTGTGTTCCTGCGCTAGCTTCATTACCCTGGAGACTGCAATAACCAGAGCAGACTTGTGCCCACTCTCCAGAGCCAACGAGGGGGAGCAAGGGTCAGAAGCTAGGTGGGGAGCCGGCTGATCAGATTCAGTAGGTGACAGAGGCCAGGGTGGGGACATCACTGCCCCAGAGTGGTCAGGGTCCGCAGGGGACAGAGGCCAGGGTACAGACCAGGCTGCCCTGAATGGTGGTCTGAGTGGCCTCTGGTAAAGTGGCCTTAAGCTGGGATGCAGGTGCAACAGAGGCACCCCTCCCCCCCTCGACCCGTACGACAAAAAAGCAGCAGAGGACCATCAGAGCCCTTCTCCATATTTGAAGGAATGAGACCTGGCAACTTTTGTGTGTTTTGAGGGGTCCCCCGATCAAGAGGTGTTGGAGGGCAGTGGAGGCTCTTTTCAGCCCAATACCCTGTGTGTTATGGAGAGTTAGGAAGTAGGTGGTCACCTGGATCCTGGCCCAGTTACCCACTGTGTCCAGGCTGAGGCAGGAGGCAGGGCTCAGCTCAGGGGTTTCTGGGCCTGGCCAAAGCCTTCTGCTTACTACCCTGTCCTTCTCACCCACTCTCTCCCTTGGTCCGGGCATCTGGTGGCTGACACTTCTGGAAACTCCTCTGCAGCTGATCTTGTGGAGGCTGCAGAGATCCCAGGCAATGGTGACCCCTGTCCCTGAAATGCAGCCCCTTCCTCTGCCTGGGCTCTGGCATGAGTCTCACTGCCATCAAGGAGCAGTGGGTGGCTGTTTGGAGGTTGTTCTCTCCCACCCTAAACACAACAAATGCTCACACAAAGCCTCAGGAGGGTGCAGAGACCCACTGGACTTTCGTGGTGCTGGGGAACCCCCACATCCACAGGGGGACCTGCAATCCCAGCCATCCTTTGAGGCAGCAATGATGGCTACTTTAGAGGCATGCAGACCAAGAAAGGGGGTATTCAAAAGAAAAACTGAAAAAATGCAGACAGGGTGATGGACTCGTGGATTACTGTGATTTGGTCATTACACGCTGTATGTACTTATTGAAATGCCTCAGGTATCCCATAAACATATGCAATTACTATATGTTGGTTAAAAATGTGTTTTTTTAAAGAGAGAGAGAGAAAGAGAGAGAGAATTTTTTAATATTTATTTTTTAGTTTTCGGTGTATACAACATCTTTATTTTATTTTTATATGGTGCTGAGGATTGAACCCAGCGCCCCGCGCATGCCAGGTGAGCATATTACCTCTTGAGCCACATCCCCAGCCCGGTTAAAAATGTTTTAAAAGTTCTTGTATGTATAAATAAATACATACATAAATCAGTAAATAAAATATTGCTATGTTCCAGCAAGCAATCATACCCTAAGTAGGGCTAAGCCCTCAGTAAAACTGCACTGTCTTGGTGGTGTTTGAGTGTTAAAAAAAATTACATATTCACTTAAAAGATTTATATATTAAAAATTAGACAATAAAAGAAATTTCCATTTTTTTTTGAGAATAGTCAGTAAAATGAAAAAAAAAAAATAAAGAAAGGAAGAAGTTTATTTAAGATACATTCAGTTAAAAAAAAAAAAAAGCCCGAGGCTGGGGGTGTGACTTAATGGAAGAGCCCTTGCCTAGCATGCACCAGGCACTAGGTTTGATCCCCAGCACTGCAAGAAAAACAATAATAAAATGAAATAAGAATACATTTGCATTGCTTTGAATGTGGAAAAAAAATGAGACAAATTGCTCAATGCCCTCCTTAAACTAAGAAATGGACCTTCCTTCTTGTTGGGGTGTCTGTTTGGGATCCATCCTAGGGTAAGAGAGCCAAGCAGGTGTGGAGAGCCCTGGAACAGGTCGTTGCCAGAAAAGCTGCAGGGGAAACTGGCTTTGCTCCCTGAAGTAGTTTGGAGACCGGAAGCCTCTCTTTCCGGAGCACCGAAATAGGAGCAGCTTCGGCCAGGAGGGGGCGAAGTGAGTTGGCTGGAGGGAGCTGTTTCTGTGGAGGCAGCCTGGAGACCCCTGGTGCAGGGTGGCACCTGCACCAGCCAGCTCAGCGCCTAGCTTTTAGCCAGGGCTCCTCCCCTCAGTGCCTCCCTGTGCCTGAGGACTGGGTCAGAGACAGGGATGCTGAATAGACTGGCCTCCTGGAGAGAGTGGCTAGAGAGATGGATGCTCCAGAGCCAAGGGGCGAGGCAGGAGGGCCCAGGAGGTGAGAACCAACAGAAGACCAGTGACAGCTGTTTGTACCCAAAAGGATCCCACTCTTCACCCAGGCATTTTGTGCAGCTTCTGTGTACAGACTGAGGTGGGTGGCATTTGTGCCAGGCTTCAGGTGCTCAGAGTAGTTGTATCTGTACCTGAAATGGAACACAGCTGGGATGGAGCCCCTAGGTCTGCCTGTGGCCAGCTGGTTGGCTCTTTCCCCAGGCCCTTCCCTGCCTCTTGGGACTTGATGGCTCTGACACCTCTGCAGGTTGCAGTGTCATCTGGATTTCTTTGCCCAGGAGCTCACTATTGAACCAGGCAGTCCAGCCTGTTGGGTTGGTTGTCCACCACATTGGACAGATCAGAGGCCACCTCTTTGGGGTTTTCTGCCCAACTCTGCCCTTCCATGAATTCTCTCTTCCCCGTCACCCAGCAGGAGACTCAGAGCAGGCTAACTTTGGAGGGATCTCAAGCTCAGCTGAGCTGGGACGGTTCTGTGTGGTATCCTGATTCTCAGTTGGATTTGGTCTTTTGTCCACCATACAGACACCACCATACATGCACCATACAAGCACCACTGTTCATGCACTTCAAGGCAACACTATGTGTGCACCGTACAGGCACCACCATACGTGCACCAGAAGACACAACCATACGTGCACCATACAGGCACCACCATACATACACCATACAAGCACCACCATACATGCACCATAAGGCACCACCATACATGCATATACAGGCATCACCATTCATGCGCCATAAGGCACCACCATACATGCACCAACATCAGCATCTGAGTACAGGAAGAACTTTATGCCCTTAATGGCTGCCTGGAGGATGGGGTGGGGAGAGGACCATGCCCTGCTCTCTTCTCCAGAGCTGTGACACTGTGAGATATGTATTTGGTCATCCTTAAGGTCCTGGGAGTCTCTTAAGGGCTGTGTTTGCCTGCTGCTGAGCCCTCTGCTGACTGGCAGCCCAGGCAGCTTCAGGATAAGGCTGGTCACTGAAAGACCAAGGCAGGGTCAGCCTCCAGGGAAGAGAGAGGGGCTTCGGGCTGAGTGGATCACCAATGGCCAGTGATTTAATGTGTCACACCCATGGAAAGAAATCTCCATAAACCCCCAAAAGCACAGGGTTCTGAGAGCCTGGTGGCTGAACCTGTGGTTCCTGGAGTATGGAAGGCATGAAGCCCTCTTCTCCTACCTCACTGATGCGTCTCTTCATCTGCATCCTTTGTAATATCCTGTGATAAAGCAGTAAATGTAAGGAAGTATTTCCCTCTGCTCTGTGAACCACTTGAGCAAATTAATCCAATCCAGGGAGGGTTGCAGGAATCCCGGTTTATAGCCAGTTAGGGCAGCCTGGTTGGCATCTTAGATGGGGGTTTCCTTGGGGACTGAGCCCTCAATCTGTGGAATCTGACACTGTTCACAGAATCAGAGCTGAATTGAGCTAGAGTACACCCAGCTGGTGTCCAGTGCTGCAGAATTGCTGCTAGCATATGGGGAGAAAATCCTGTGGTGTGGGGTGACAGCAGCCTCCTGCACTGGGTGCTGAGAGTATGGGAGAAGCTGAATTTGATTTTTCTTTTCTAGGCTATCCCACCCAGAAGATCAGAGGCCAGGCTGAGAATGGAGATGGGGTGGACTCAGGAACCTCTCTTACCTCTGGAACTTTCAGGCAATTTCTCTTTCCCCTTATACCTGCTCCACCCTCATTCTCTCCATCCCATGCCAGCCTAGAGGGGTGTGTGGCCTTGTTGCGCAGGCTAGGTTTCCTCTGCTGGGACAAGGCCTGGGGATGGGGCCCCTGATGCCCCCCGAGGTGTATCTCAGTCCTGGCACAGCAGCCCACACTGGCAGGCCAGCACCACCAGGCAAGGTGGTGTTCTGTGCGGTCCTAGCCTCATCCTATAGCAGGTGGACAGGTGTGGAATGGTGAGGGAGAGTCGGCAGCAGGTTTGGCTTTATCAACCTCTGATTGACATTTAGCTTTTTCTTCCATTTTGAATGCAGGCAACATTGCCCAAAGCAGTATTAGCAGGACCTGTGTTTTTAAAAACTCTTTGGTTGGCACATAATAATCGTCTGAGCTTATGGGGTACATTGATAATTGACAGATGTCTGCGACTTGTAATGATTGTCAGAGTAATTAGCATTCCCATCTCCACAGACATTCCTCATTTCTCTTTGGGGGCCTTTGAACCTTTCTCTTCTCATTCTTTAAGAAGTATGTAATAAACTTGTGAACCGTAGTCACCCTGCCATGATGAGGGTTGCTCCTTTCTAGCTGTGTGTCTCCCTCTGCATCCCCCCTTAGTCCCTCTCTCCCTCCCAGGGGCAGATAGTCCTGG